TTGAGCTCCAAAAACCTCTTGTACATGCCCAAGGGAAGCCATTCTGCACCCACCAAAACCAACAGTTAGCTTTTGCAAAACCCTCCCACACCTGGTCCTGTTTTGCCGTACATTGGCATAGCTTTCCTGTGAGTCGTGTAGTTCCACAAAAGAAAGGAAATTAAATTACATTCTACACTGTTATTTCATGCCGCCGTGGTACAGCGGGTTCTTGAAGTTACAAACTTCACAAAAGGCCACATGGTTATGTAAGGAAGAAAGCGTGCCAGATACAAGCCAACTTTTCGGGCATCACAGCAGCTTGTTTTTCTTGCATTACTTTTTCATACTGACACGTTCTGCTCGCTGCAGCCTGTTTGGAAAAACAACATGGCCGCTCGGCTCCCTCTTCCTAGCCGTGTGGGTTGAAAAAGCATTTTCTGTAAATGTTTAACCGGATGGGTAAACTGTGGACAGGTTTCAATCAATGTCAATGTCTTTGGGTTGTTTTCCCAGAATGCAGCGGGCCTCAGTTCATCCACAAATTGACCAGAGCTTACTGGTTACAAAAGCTTCATGTTGCGTGTCGCTGAGTGCATGTTTGTATATATCAGTAGATTGTGTACTGTAAACCAATACGACCGGTTATAATCCTGCCGTCAGACCTCTGCATTTTGATAAATCCTGGAGAGAGCCTGCAGTTTCAGCTCATTAGAGAAGTATGCATAGATTAAACCAAATCAGCAGTGATGGAGAAGATTTAAAGTGTTTGATTATGGGTGGTTGCATGCAACCAGAGCAGAACTGATCTTGAGTTTTTTTGTTTTTCAGTTTTCAGATAATAGTTACTGTGATTAAAAGTGCTGTAATTGAAAGCATTTTTTTAAATGTAATTTATTTATTCTTATTATTTAATTTTATTTATTTGTTTTTGCACGTCACACCATATATGCTGCTAATTTAAAAAAATAGTTATAAAAATCAATCAGGATACCCTGTTGTACTTGTTTTTGAATGCATCTGAAAAGCATCTTACGTGTAAAATCATATACAGAAAGTGTATTAAAATTAAAATTGAAAACAATTTTATTTGATTTTATTTATTTTTTGCATGTCGGACTATATATACTGTTTTTTTAATGTTAATATAATCATAAAACTGCATCAGGAGACCCTGTTTTGTTCCGTTTTGCTGTTTTTTTTTTTTAATGCATCATATGTGAATAGCATCTAAATGTACATTATATAGAGATTCTTGCTAGTTCGCGAGTGAAACATATGTTGGTTGTGCTCTACTAGATGAGACGTTTCCAATGATATATGTAAAGGTTATTCAATGTTTTTGCCCATTCCTATCATGATGATGTTCACATTTCACAGAAAATCAAATGAAGCTCATTTGTCAGAAAATTTAGTGGTAGGTAAGAGTTAGTCAGATTGTCTATATGCATTACAAAATTCATATTCTAGGTTTTGAGTCAAGTGGGTGTTTAAAAAAAAAAGCATTAGTTCTAGTTTAAAGAGTTGAAAACGTTGGTAATCAATATCGGTCCAGAAATTGAAATATAAACCATTTTCCCCCACTGAGCTCGTTGCAGTTTATTATACGATTGTATTTGTAATTTTTATGTATGATAGATGTAATGCTGTCTTAATGCAAATATTCTCATTTGAACAGGTTTTGTGCTAGAAGTATGTCTGTGATGCTGAGGTTTTGGAACAGAGTCAGTATGTAACTTCACAAGTGGCACTTGACTTTTCAACAGCGTGACATGCTTCCTTGGGAGAAGCGAGAGAAAAACCGGCCCAGGCCCTGAAAAGAGTTCCTGTCCACTCCCCAACCACACAGCCCACACACTAAGCCTTTGGAAAGAGAGAGGAACTGTGAGTGGGAAGTGTTGCTAGTGTAGGCCCAGGGATGAGAGTGTGGAACAGGGATGCTTCCGAGGATACGTAATGGCAGGTGTCTGCTGAAGCACGCCCGCCAATAATTTCTTCAATGAGGCAAACTCTGGCAAAGTCGCCCGCTATTTCAGACACTATTCTTAGGTCTGTTCCTGACAATTGGGCTTGAAACTTTAGACCACAGTATTTGGTGCTGGACAATGCTCAGAGCGATCACCCCCCCTTCAGATCTCTAGGCTTCCATACTCACCCTACGCTGACTTCATTCGATCGGCTCTGGGCTCGTGGCCTAAGGGTTCTGCTTTTTAATATTGATGGGCAAGACACAGAGCAGATCTGAATGCTTTCAAAGGGCCAGCTAGAGTCCAAGTGACCCACTCTGTGCAAGTGACGTTACCATAAGGGACACGCAACTAATTTGCCCCGTACAAAGTCCAAAAGTACATATTTGCTGTAACAGTTGGAATCAAATACATAGAGGTTTGTTCAGTGGTCTCTGTGCTTTGATGCGGCCCCCGGATTTAAGGGGTCAGAAGAATATGCTGTCTTATTGTCAGAGGACTTTTGTAGAGTCTTTGTTATTTGGTCCTTTTTTGAGCATAATGTGATGAAATGTTGTTGTTGTTGTAAATATATTTTAAAATTATTAGTAATTACTATTAATTAAAGGTGCAGCCCGTAAGTTTCGCCTCTTTGTCGCCATCTCTGTTTGAAACCTGCAATTGTAGTTATTTGCGGAGGTATTTTTTTAACGTGGGTCGTGCACCGGCATGGCTCCAGCACCGATAAATCTAATGTTTCGAGGAGTATGTGTGGCTGTCACTCACCGCACCGGTGTGGATATATTTACTGTACTTCAGAATCACAGATTCTAGCCTATATCTTGGAAGTATGACAAAAATACGAATTTTCACTAGATAGTGTCATCTGAATGAGTAAGTAACAAGTCTGACACTTTTGTTTTGACCAATTGAGGGAAAAAAGCATTACAATAAATCGTGCTACAATGGTGATTAAATCTAACGATCGGTTAGGTCATATCACATCAAACCGTGCAAATAATTATTAAAGTTATACTTTGTTCTCAAATTGTTCATGTTAGCAACATCAGCATTGCGTGACTACGTGTATGTAGTGTGTATTAGCGTTACATGTAGATTTCAATTTCTGTACAGTCTAATCTCTAATTGACTTAATATTCAAATTTCATATAAAGAAATTCTTTTAACCCAAAAAGCAAATTATTCTTCCTTAGAACTGGTTGTCTTTAAAATACAAAACTTGTGTAATCCCATGTAGGCTATCTGTAATCAGATGCACATTTAAAACCGGAATCTAATCTAATTTCAGTCACTTGTGTTTCATAAACACATAAACCTTCATGGATTAAAATCTGCCATCAAAATGATAAATTTAATTATTCTAGCTGCTGTGAGAAAAGACTATATTAACGATCCGCCACCTGCAGCATCCACACATGCGATAGCCTACTAACTTTGTTTACAGACCACTCAAATTAGAAAACATTGTTATAAGCTTACCGTTGTGAATCGGGCTAAGGTATCGCATTACCAATGGTTATTAAATCTAACGATCGTAAAGTTAGCTCAAATCACATCAAACCGTGCAAATTATTATTATTGTTATGCTTTGTTCTCAAATTGTTAATGTTAACAACATCAGCATTGCGTGACTACGTGTATGTAGTGTGTATTAGCGTTACATGTAGATTTCAATTTCTGTACAGTCTAATCTCTAATTGACTTAATATTCAAATTTCATATAAAGAAATTCTTTTAACCCAAAAAGCAAATTATTCTTCCTTAGAACTGGTTGTCTTTAAAATACAAAACTTGTGTAATCCCATGTAGGCTATCTGTAATCAGATGCACATTTAAAACCGGAATCTAATCTAATTTCAGTCACTTGTGTTTCATAAACACATAAACCTTCATGGATTAAAATCTGCCATCAAAATGATAAATTTAATTATTCTAGCTGCTGTGAGAAAAGACTATATTAACGATCCGCCACCTGCAGCATCCACACATGCGATAGCCTACTAACTTTGTTTACAGACCACTCAAATTAGAAAACATTGTTATAAGCTTACCGTTGTGAATCGGGCTAAGGTAAGGAGATAGTTTTGAACACTGGCTGGTTATGTACTTGCTCAAAAGTTACGGACTGCAGCTTTAAATATTAGTAATTATAAAGATATTTTTTCTTAAACGGATGGTTCAACCAAAAAGGAAAATTCTTTAATTCAAAACAATTTAGGCACTCTCACACTGTTTCAAACCTGTAAGACTTTCTTCTGTGCAACACAAAATAAGATTCTTTTTCATACAATGAACGTCATTTTTTTTGTAAACTATTCCTTTAAATAAGGATAAAAGTATTTTTGTTATTAGTAGTTCGCTTGTGATTCGCCAGGTACGTTTTGGCTTCAAAGGCACATATCTCTTCACAGGCCTCTATGACTATCTGAATCAAGAGCTGTCATTAATCCCAGCCTTTAACTTTCTCTCTGCCTTGCTTTGATGCGCTGCCAGAACACTGATCCTGGGTTTGCTTTCATTGACAAAAAGATAGCTTGCGGTCTTTGAAATGAGAGCAATAATCCAAATTTCTATAAATATGTCAATTTGTTATGCAGCGTCTAACCTAACAGGGTTGTGCAGCATTCACAATTTAATTGACAATAGCTTTTAAGAAGCTATTCAGTTCCTGAATTTGAATTTGAATTAAATTGAATTAAGTTGGCAGAATTCAAAATTCAAAGGAATGTATACAACAGCTGTAAGTGCAATATATTTATTTGCATATGTATGTACTATTTATTTATTTATTTATACAAATAATCGACGTTAAATTCATGGGTCATGATGGAAGAATCTGTAGTAGTTTACAGAAAATGTATATTTTTATTTATTTATTTGTTATGTTTTGCTGTAAAACTAGTATTGGAATTCCTCTGTTTGGTTATGCTGAACTTGTCATTTTAATTCATTAAATTCCCCCTTAACATCCTGTATGCCAGTTTCAGCTCATGAATTGAAAGAGAGCCAATAAAAGTTTGCCCAAATCCTTTAACCTACCCTTCCCTTCATTAGGAGAATTAAATGGCACGCGGTCCCCTCCAGTGAAAAAGCCTGGCAAAGAAAACAACTACCAGCACATCAAGGAAATTGCTGTGAAGCAGCATCTCAGCAACAAGAGGACCAGGATGTACAGCCCCCAGGATGATCCCAAAACACCTCACCCCAGACAGGTGAGTGTCCCGCTGTGAAGAATCACAGGGCAACACAGCGAATATTAGACCTATAAATATAAAAATCTGTATTCACCTTGAATGTCATTGTGTTCAGTACGGCAGTGCCCTCTTCTGGTTATCAAACTAACACACCACATACACAACGCCACAGGCTCACGCAACACACACACACACACACACGCGCTATGACATAGATACTCTCTTTTCTGTATCAGCTAAACATTTAATTTTCTTAACACAGTCTTCTGGGGTTCAGATTTACGGTATGTCCTTTGTACAACCCTCTATATTTGATGTTGCTATAATCCTGTGGTCTGAGGTTGTTTGTCAGTGTATAATTTATTGCTTCAGTATGTTATTTTCGTGATTGGAGCTGTGCAAAAACTGCTGTAAGCTGATTTTTGGGTGTTTTTCGTATTAAACCTGTTTCTGGTGCCATTTCCACTATGTTTTCAGTCAAAAACATATGATCATTTCCTTAGTTACCTAATTAACCAGTGATTTCTGGTGTCTAAAACATTGCCCGGTGATAGCATACAGTCGCATTGGGATTGCCAAGGCAGAACAAATGGCTGCCGTCTCCGCTGAAACAAGGAATGAGCCAGTGCTTGTCAAATTTGGCCATCACGCAAATCCACAGAGAGTTAATTAACTTTTCTTGGATTTGTACCATGCTTTACCTGGACTCTTAAATCCTTAGCCAAGTGACCACTGCAACACCCCAATCAGCATCTCTTTCTGGCATCATTTGATGTTTTGAGCCAATAGACAAATTGTCTTGCTTATTTACTTCAGTTGGCAAGTCATTTTTCTTTCTTTTCTTTTTTTTTAAGTACAACTTGAAGTAAATGGCAGTTCTGGTAGTTTTCTTAGTAGCTCAGATGTAGGGCTTGTTTTGCATGACATCTTTATATGATCTAGACTGTTTGCTTTACGTTGTCATATTAGCATATCCGCACCATTTAAAGGACGCTTTAAGCGCATCGATCTGGAAAACAGGCCTACATAGACTCATATTTTCCTCCTTATTGAACGTATTCTATAGCCACTATTGGGCAAGAAATAGCTCAAGAAAAAGACAATCGATGCGACCATAAACAAACAGCAGCGGAGACAACAATAGCTGTACTATGAAGCACACTGGGTTTAGTTTGGCCGACCTGAAAGCAATAGTAACTACGGCTAAATGATATGTTGATAAAGCAAATGGATGTTGGAAAGTACCATAAAAAGGTAGATGCAATAAAAAGAAGAAGCCAAAGCAATAAAAATTCAAACCAGTGATAATGGTAGGGTAATAAAAAGCCAAACCGAAAAAACAAGTTTTCTGTGGGGGTCATAAATCAGTAGCGTAACCATCACGTATCCCATGAAAAGCAGACATTCAAGGAGAATGTCAGGGTGACGGCATGTCCGATGACAGCAGGAGACTGTTCACTGCTTTGTGATGGAGCACTTTTCATCCGCACGATACGGATAAGATCCCTGGCAGGCCCTCTTCCCCCAGTGCCCTCTTATCCTGGGCCAAGCAGGGAGCAGCCATCATGAGAGATATTGGGAAAAAGAGAAGGAACAGGAGACAGGAATGGTCTTTGATGCCGATGCCTGTCCTTGCGGAGAGGTGGGGAGGCAGAACTAAGCCAGCAAATTAGCTCGAGTACGAGATTTATATCAGCCACACAAATGTTTCATGAGGCCGCCGGCCTGCTGTTTATCTCACTCTCCTTATATGAGTGTTTCTTTGAGGAGTTTTATTAAAACTAACTTTTTGTTATATTACGTTATATTTTTGTTTTATGTTACATTAACTGTATCTTTTACCATATTTTGCTATGCCTTCGTCACTTACTTTTGCTACTTTTCAAATGCAGGTTTTATTTATCATTCACAACCCACATTTTCCTCTGATAAAGTTTTTTTTCAGATGTTACTGTACTTGTTTTGCAATGTACATCTCACTTGTCAACAGCATATTTTTAAATTGAAAGATTTCTGATGTCTAAAGCAGCCTTAGCACAGCATACACACTTTTTTTTATTTTTTTTTATACATCATTTCTGTCTGTAATCTTGTGAATTTAATGTAAACATTGTGAAAATATTACAGTATTGTGTGTATTTAGGTATTTAGACAAAGGAGATTGACAAAATAAACTAGTGAGTGTGTAAAAATGTGGTTCAATATGTTTTAAGAGTTGAAGAAATACTCAAATACATGTTTGTTTGATTGTGTGTGTGTGTGTGTGCTTGTTTATGTGGTTTATGAGGACACAAATTTGTATAATGACATGGGGATGACAGAGGTATTACAATATGAAAGTGATTCATAAGGACACTTTTTGTGTCCCCGTAATTCAAAAGACTTAAAAAAACATACTTAATTGTGTTTTATGAAAATCTAAAAATGCACAAAGTTTCCTATGAGGGGTGGGTTGGGTAGGGTTGGTGTAAGGCGATATAAAATACCATTTGTACAGTATAAAAACCATTACGCCTATGGAGAGTCCCCATAAACCATAAAAACCAATGTGTGTGTGTGTGTTTGGTCTTACAGAGCCAGTGTCAACAGGAGCTGGACAGAGTTTTGGAGAACATCTCCCGAATGTCGTTCCATGACAACAAGGGACCTTTGGAAAATCTTTATGACCTGAAGTTCCCCAACTGTGACAAGACAGGACAGTACAACCTTAAGCAGGTGAAAAGACCAATATTTGACTCAACTTTTCAAAGACATCATCATGGTCGGAAATTAGCAGCTTTGGTAGCTGAAATAGTTTTTCTTTTGAAGTCTTCTTGTCCATTTTCAATTTGAGACATTTTGCAGGTCACTTGCCGCATTGGCCGGGAGATTAGCACAAAAAGTACTCGCATTTGGATGGCAGCGGGTGTTAATTTCACTATAGGGAAATAGGAATATGAGACATTGCACAACCTTTCAATCTGCAGCACCCCGCTGTTTTATTATCGAATTCCATGTGGAAGGTTCAATAAAGAGTCAAAGATGGAGCCAAAGAGAAACTGTGTATAAAACATTCTCTTCAGAAGGCTGTTTTACCAAAGCCAAGGCAACCGTATCTGAGCTGAGAGTTACAAGCTAATGAAAATTTTGCTGACCGACTGACCTGTCTCTTGGGTGACTTGCCTTGGTTTTTAGAGACATCAGAGGAAAGGAGAATGACAAACTCAATCTTTTATATCTCAATGTCTTTCTTACTCATCTTTTACATGCTGATGAGATGAAATGGGAAACATTTTTTACAGTCTTTTTGGATCTCGGGTTCTGATGTCACACGTCCGCATAGGAGTTTCATAAGAAGTCTTTTAATGGCTCAAACTGTATATTTGTAAAGATACCAATGTCTGCAAGTAGACGTCTGAGATCTCAATATAAACTCTCATGACTAAATGATCAGATTATTCGTATATCTGCATTAATTTTTATAATTCTCTTACTGTATATGTGGAGTTTTCATATGCTGTATGTATGTATATGTATATATACATATAGCTAAGTATACACTAAATAAAATGTTTTATAAAATAGGGTTATTGACTTCTAAACCCATTTTGTCTGTTGTCTAGGCTTTGACATTTTGCTGACAGAGCTTGCTAACTGAAACCTTCATGAGTTAAGAATTATGTTCACAATTATGATATAATATTTCTGTGTCCTGGCATGACATGTTGCAGCTTAAACCAGGACAAACGTGTCCCGGAGAAGTAAACGGGTATGTTGTTTTGACACGAAAACCCTGTTCCCAGGGCTCAAAACAGTGTACCTCACCACACTTAATTGTATTGCAGTCATCCTGTTCCTTTTGCAATTATTGTAACTGTCAGTTTTTGTTCTTTGCCATTGGAGGACAAAATTGAGAATCTGTTTTTTGCCTATTTTGGGTCTCAGCGTCAGCCATGTCCAGTTCAATTATGACCTGATTTTGGGAGTGCTCAGTAGGGGTCAATGAGACGTGCTGGGCCAAATGAGGCGGGAGGGCTGTTTTGGGGTAGCGCCTCCACCCCGTACTCGCCCAAGAGCTTCATTAAGCCCCCAACACCCACCGTTTCCCCACTCGTCTCTCATCATCTTCTCTCTCTCTTGTGTTCCAGTGCAACATGTCCAGCCATGGACAGAGGGGTGAGTGTTGGTGCGTCAACCCCTACACTGGTGTCCAGATACCCTCGTCCCCCAAAGTGAGGGGGGACCCCAACTGCAGCCAGTACTACGGTGGTCCCGAGCTGGAACCGCCCACCAGCGAGCAGAAATAGACGCACCCTAGCCCTTAAGGGAGACGCCCCCGGGTCGCAAACGAGGAGAGTTAAAGCGAGTGCAAGAGCGATGTGCATGTGTGTAATTCTGTACGTGTATGTGTATGTATACTTTCGCAATAGTATGATCTGTATTGTCGATAGGGGTGTGGAAAGTCACATGCCAGCAAAGACAAGCAAGTCAAGGACAGGTAGTTAAACCTCCCCCTTCTCAAATCCAGATAACTGTACTCCAAATTTAACTCTGAGTGATTGTTTTTTTCTGCCTATTTATAGGCTCGTCCGGTGCCTTTTAATCTTGTGACTGAATCTGGTTGCAGAGAGTTTCTTATACAGCATTTGCAGCTGTTCGGTGTGAAGATGTGTCCCTTTAATTCACCCTTTTGTCTTTCGAGACCCAATAAAAATGGTGGCGTGTTTTTTTGTACCATTGGTTGCCAAAAACAAACAGCAACTGCAAATGCACAAAAGCAGCAGCTTGACGTTGATTTAAAAGTGAATCCCAAATTTTTGAAACCAAAAATATAAAGCAGAGGGGTCGTTTTTTTTTTTTAATATAAAGGAAGGGGGGTCGTTTTTTTTTTTTTTTTTTTTGGCTGGTTTGAGATGATCTGTGCAAGAGGGGCTGGAGATGTGCTTTTTGGCTATTTTGACTACTTGAGTACTCTACAGATAAATCAACCATAATTACTCAAGTATTTGTCGATATGCATCAAACTGGCATCTTTTCTGCATGAGTGTTGCGTTTTTAAGACCAAAACAATGTGTCTCTAAACCACTGCTTTTGTTTCCATTCAGTTGCTTCGGGCTGAAAGTCGCCACATACGTGTGTTGCTATATGGCGTCGCCACAAATTGCCGCCCCATCTAACCAATTGGAGTGCAAGGTACGAAAGGCCCAAAATGTCAAACAATCGCTAAATTAAAAACAAGGCCCCTTTTTGGCACATATTACTGACCTTCAATCAGCATCATATGTTTTGAATTTCAAGTGTGTTTTTACAGTCGATAATTGCTGTTGCTTCCAAGTACTCAAGATCTGGCTATCCCTGTTCCTGGCAGCTGATAGACCTCTGTTCTCGTTCTGCTTCTCTACCATGTGGTAGAATTCAGGAGGTGTATGTGTGTGTTTGTAGAGTGGGGATCAGCATTTACTAATGATGTGCTGACAGAGGGCTAGATTTGGACACAGGGCTGACATTGACAAATGTGATATAAAGTGGGTTAAGTGCCTATAAATAAACACAGGTTTGCCTGCAGTGCCAGTGGGCTGTGCCTCACCTTGCTTCACTCTCATCTGTGGAGGGATGTGTTGGGGGTTGGCAAGGGTGACTTTGCCCAGTGTAACGCTTGAATGGGGTTAGTTGAAGAGTCCTGTGGAGGAATGTGAAGTGGTGCATGGGTTTAGTGAGCTTGTTTAACCAATTCTTGTACCATTTTTTTCCCCAAAGTAACATACATTGGGATCCAAAATTTGAACCTGGGATTCAAAACCTACTTTAAACCTAGAAATAAAATAAAGGTTTAGGATTCTGAACATTTTTATACAGGAAAAAAAAAATCTTATTTTGGGTCATCAATTAGTAAACACATTTGCCAAGTTTGGGGTTGGTAAGATATATATATATATATATATATATATACAGTATATATATTTATATTGTGGGAGTTTTTTTTTTCAAGATTATTTGATGAATAGAAAGTTACATGAATAGAAAGAACAGAATTTAGCTAAAATAAAAATATTTTTTGTGACATTATAAATGTCTTTACTGTCACATTTGACAAATTTACTGCATCCTTACTGAATAAAAGTATCAGTTTCTTAAAAAAAAAATCTTACTGACCCCAAGATAATGCAAAATAGAAGCATTCTGTAGTCTAAATAGAAGAGAACAGTGAGATTTAATGGGTTAACTTGTTCTGTCAGCAGGTGTGATCTGTAATGCCCTGTTCACACGGACACACAGCGGGTTTTATTGCTGAAGGCCCCCAGATCAATGTACTGTTGGATTGTACTGGGCGTTCCTACTACTCTGTGTTCTGACGCCATTGGTGGCCTGTGTGAATGGGCATAGCTTCTGCAAATCTGATCACAAATGGGACAAGAATCTAGGTGCTGCTCATAAATTTCAACTTTTAAAATTCTTATTCCTGCATTTTCAGTGTAGCCTTTTGGATGCCACTGTATGTGACCTTATTGTCATATCATTGAAAATTGCCAGTATGAACAACAATGTAGGGTTGTTAAAGGGCGGTAGCTGTAACATCCCTTGATTAAGTTATATTTTAATTCATTACCCATATCTCTGCCTCTTAATATCTCTTCCCCATCTGTCTCTCTCTTTCCCGTCCTCTCTTTCTCGGTGAGCGTTGAATTGAACAGCTCAATCCAGAAATAGAAGTCGATTAAGCTTTAACATTGATCATAATGTGTTAGACAGTGTTCAGCCCATCGTTTGCTTTTGTAGCTTAGCCTTTGATATATTACCACATTAACCTTCAGTATCTTTCACAGTATTACCACATCTTGCTCGCCCTTAGTAGTAGCTTATATGTATTTACTTTATCTAGTTAGCGTTGTGCTAACTACCGCAACAGACTGGCTCTCCAGAATCGTGCATGCCTCGTGTGATTTTGGTGCCTCACGGATAGATTTGCTGAGACACGGGCTACGAGTTTTCCGTTTCGGTTTGTTTCCAAAATAGATCGCTGCCTGCCCTCCGGTGGCACAGTAAATTTTACGGTAGCTTGAGTTTGGCCTAGTTTGAAAACAGTGCGAAACCAATCCCTGTGGTTTTCGGGCATATTGATTTGCCAGAGCGGTTCCAATGGGATGGAAGTGTTCACGTATGCGTGTGTGTGTGTTTGTGTGTATTTGTGTGAACGTTTCGATGCTGTGCCATGCCTGGAGCCAGTGTGACGGTGGGAAGGATTGCTTGCCATCTGGTGCAGTGTAAAACTGTCAGAGCCGGTCTCTGCTTTTGGAGAGTCTCACACAAATGACAGGGGGAATTTCTTGAGCAAATCCAAATGCCTTGTGCCATGCCAGCATCTCACATGCCTTTTTTTTCTGTAATTCATTGCGTATCCTGTGTGTCACGAGATGCAGTGGTATTAAATAACATACATTACTCAAAGCATGCTCCTTGTGTCGACTGTCATGCGAATGGTGCATGAACTGAGTTTTCTGTACAACTGCAATGGAAAAAGCCATAAATGCATGCAAAAATAGACATTGGTTTTAAAATCTTGTAATAAAATCCAGCATGATTAAATGTATTACCTTTCAGACCCATGATTCATTTGTTGGGTTTCTTTTTTTATGCATTTTTTTAAATGATTTGCCAGAGCGGTTCCGATGGGATGGAAGTGTTCACGTATGCGTGTGTGTGTGTTTGTGTGTATTTGTGTGAACGTTTCGATGCTGTGCCATGCCTGGAGCCAGTGTGACGGTGGGAAGGATTGCTTGCCATCTGGTGCAGTGTAAAACTGTCAGAGCCGGTCTCTGCTTTTGGAGAGTCTCACACAAATGACAGGGGGAATTTCTTGAGCAAATCCAAATGCCTTGTGCCATGCCAGCATCTCACATGCCTTTTTTTTCTGTAATTCATTGCGTATCCTGTGTGTCACGAGATGCAGTGGTATTAAATAACATACATTACTCAAAGCATGCTCCTTGTGTCGACTGTCATGCGAATGGTGCATGAACTGAGTTTTCTGTACAACTGCAATGGAAAAAGCCATAAATGCATGCAAAAATAGACATTGGTTTTAAAATCTTGTAATAAAATCCAGCATGATTAAATGTATTACCTTTCAGACCCATGATTCATTTGTTGGGTTTCTTTTTTTATGCATTTTTTTAAATGATTTATTTGTTGGGTTTTGTGTTGTCTTGATAATGTTTTCCATGCACATGAATCATAAGCCCTTACTGAAATTTTTGTTACTGGTGATTAGATGTCCTCTTTTCAGGTTTCCCATGGTAATAATTAAAAATTCATAAAAAATGTAATTTAATTGAATTTGTAATGCAATGTATTTTTTATATAAAATATTTAATGAAATTTCATTTTATTCAATATTAAATATTAAATTTAACATTAAATATTTGCAAGCAAATGGAAAAGTCATAGAAATTAATTGGCCAAAAGGTGTGGGAAGCTTTTCTTTTGAGCTTCAAGAAAATTGACCAACTTTTGGCATTTTCAGGAAAGAAAAGCTGAGAAGAACTTGTGCTATCAAACAAATAGAGGATGACTATGGGTAGAATCAAGATCATCAGCTCTCTACCTTTTTTTTTCTTAATATTGTCTGTATACATATTTGGCCCTCTTATTGTACAATAGCAGTGCACATGATTCTGATTGTATTCAATCTATAGAAGAGATTAAGTAAGAGATTCACCTTAAAGGGTTAGTTCACCCAAAAATGAAAATTATGTCATTAATTACTCGCCCACATGTCGTTCCAAACCCGTAAGACCTCCGTTCATCTTCGGAACACAAATTAAGATATTTTTGATGCATTCTGACAGCTCTCTGACCCTCCCATAGACAGCAAGGGTACTACCATGATCAACGTCCAGAAACGTAGCAAGGATATCGGTAAAATAATCCATGTGACATCAGGGGTTCAACCGTAATATTACAAAGCTACGAGAATACTTTTTGTACGCAAAGAAAACAAAAATAACGACTTTATTCAACAATTCATCTCCTCCGC